AAAAATAAAATAAAATAAAATAAAGCAGGTACTTAAATAAATGCACATTTTCACTATGCAGTTTTCCAGACCTAAGAACAATCAAAATACCAAACAGAAATGGAACTTCAGAAACAAAGTCCAGAAGCAAAAGAATTTATTTTTAACCGTCTTTTATTTTAAACCACACTGTTGGGGGGAAAGGATGTCCTGAGCAAACTCCATATAGGCTTTGGGGATGCCACCCCCACTCAATCAAGACATGGGAACTACGAATCCCATGATCCCCAAAGGGAAGCTGCAAGAACCTAAGGGCGGAGTTAAGCAGCCATTTTCTCTTTGTAAATAAAAACCAGCCATGTTAGTGGGATCTGGGGCACTTGGCTCTTGCTCTTGGCCAGGCAGGTTTGGTCTGCGTGGGTCATATGGGACTCCAGGTGGGTGGAACGGGTAGGATGCATTTAAGAATTTATCTCCCTCTTTTCTCCCTAAGTTGTACATTTCCTCATTCCCCTTCCCTTGTAAATAAACCACTTGTTAACCTTTTGTGTGTGTCTGCAGCGTAAGTCCCTTTTAAGTCCGTGGGTGAGGACCCACCGTCAGGCAACCCATTTTATATTGGGGTTGCCCTGTAACAACACCAAGTTAAATAAAGATATATATATTTGTATATAGTTATACATATGCTATCCATCCTAACAGAAATATAATCATAATGTCTATACTTATACACTAATATCTAATAGCTATACTGATATTATGCTATGATACATATTAGTTCAATATATCAGCAACGATTTAAGTTTTATTATCAAGGAATTAATTTTTAAAATCTGTTTAATTCAACCTTTAACCCTTCTTTAAAAACCCAGAAATTGACTTCAAATATAAATCACTAAAAAAGTAAAAATAAACAATAAAGACAACGTGGATTAATCTCAAAAGCTTTATGCTAAGTGAAGTAAGTCAGAGAAAAACAAATACCATAAGAACTCACTTGTATGCATAAAGTTAAAAAAAAATCACAAACTCATACAGAGAAGAGATGGGGCAGCAGAGAAGGGAATGAGTGAAATGGAAGGGGTGTCAAAAAGTACAAACTCCAGCTACAAAACACGTCAGTCCTGGGTATATAACTTACAGCAAGCTAACTACAGCAACAACACTGTATTCCATATTTGAAGGGACTAACTAAAAGAGAAGACTTCATCATTTTTTTAATCAAAAAAATTGAAAATGATGCATGGTGATGAATGTTAACTAGACTTCATGTGATCATTTCACGGTATGTATCTACATATATGGAATCATTATGTCATAAAGTTAATTAATAAAATGTTCTGTCAATAATAGCTCAATAGTGCCTCCCCTGGTGGTGCGGGTGGTTGAGTGCAACGCTATGAAGCTGTCCACAGCCTCTGCAGTGCAGGTTCGATCCTTGCCACCCTGCGAGGGTCCCACATGGCTTGGCAGACCTCTCCTGTCTCGCCCACTGCTCCCCTCAGCAGTGTATTTCCTCAGTCTGCCTGTCCTGTTCCCTGCTCTGTCTCTGGTGAATCCTCTCACCCTCCCACGCATCTGGTCTGTACCCCGGTGCTTGTATAAATAAATAAATAAATAAATAAATCTTCTTAAAAATAAACAATAGCTCTATAAAAGCAAATACAAAAAATACATCAAGAAAAGTCGATCTGGGCCTCCCTGGTGGCGCAAGAGTTTAAGACACAACCTATGAAGCAATCCGCAGCCTCTGCAGCACAAGTTCGATCCCCAGCCAGCCAGGGAGCGGCCCACATGGCGCAGCAGACCTCTCCTGACTCGCCCGCTGCTCCCCTCAACAGTGTATTTCAGTCAGTCTGCCTATTGTGTTCCCCACTCTGTCTCTGGTGAACCCTCTCACCTCCACCCCCCACACCTCCGGCCTGTGCCCCAGCTCTTGTATGCATAAATGAATAAATCTTTAAAAAAAAAAAGAAAAGTCGATCTAACATCTAAATGTGATATAGCCATTAAATGACTGCAACTTTGTTTTTTTTTTAATTAATTTATTTATGCATACAAGAGGTGGGGTGCAGGCCAGACATGCGGGGGGTGAGAGGATTCACCAGAGACAGAGTGGACAACAAAACAGGAAGACTGACTGAAATACACTGCCTAGGGGAGCAGCAGCAGGGAGACAGGAAAGGTATACCATATGGGTGCTACAGTGGCTGTGGATAGCTTCATAGCGCTGATGCTTAACCCCTTGCACCACCAGGGAGAACCAAATGACTTCAATTTTTAAGGGCAGGTTAACATAATTACCAAAAGTTTTTGCACCCTTTATTTCAAAATTGTATGTGAGTAATAAGGCAGAAAGTGGAGGTCAATCTCACTTAAGATTTTGTAAAGTATAAAATGAATCACTTACAAGAACAACTTGCACAAGGAAATTTTCACTTCCTGCCACTCATGCAACAATCAAGGTTTTTTTCAATTGTATAAAACTTTTCTTCCTTAGGCTTTAAAATTATAAAATAATCAGTTCTACTTTTTAACAAATTGCTAAGATATAAACCATCTACATTTACCCATTTGGGGCTTAAAAATTAAAAGCTAACTGCGACACCAGAGAAAAACTTTAAAGTCAGGGTATCTTACTCAAACATGTAGGCAGTATAACAGGGGGTTAAAATTACATACATGTATGTATATGTATATATATACACACATATTTTATATATTATATATATATGCATTCACACTGAAGTCATGTTGCAAAATATGATACTGGGCAAGTTATTTAATTTTATTTGTTGCATCTCACCATTTCTAAAATGCGAAGAAATTATAGCACTACTTCAAACATATACTTGAGATGAGATGTAAGTATGTATGTATGTATGTATTTATGTATGTATGTGAAATCTGACACCAAGTTAACAACCTAGTAGTAGCATACCAGTTGCTCTGAGATTTCATCACTGGGATAAAATGTACATACAGAGTCTAGCAAATATCTGATGAATGAATAGAAAATTCCATTCAGAAATTTAGAATGATGGGAGGGCAGTGTCAGATAAATTAGAAATAACAACTTTCAGTTATCTGGAACACATTTAATTGATCATGGTTTTACTTTCACTCAAAAGCAAGGGTAAGTGCTAGGCACGATGTTCTACAGTGCCATATGGAAAGATGAGTAGCATGCTGCCATGTCAAAACAGGATAGGATCTTGACAAGAGGAACGAAAGAGGGCCTCTCTATTAAAAAGAGGTACCTGACCATCATTTGGGTAGAGGTGGAAAGAAGAGGAAAGAGTGGAATGGTTTTATTTTTTAATTAGATGTTCACCTAACCAAGGAATCAACATCGCCCACAGCAGAGCAAACCAACCTCCATAGAATATTTTGTCTCAGCACACAAAGATAGTGAATGGGGCAACGTTAGAAAAGATGCCCTGAAAGGGAACTGTGGGATGATGAAAATGTCCAGTATCTTGCTTTCTGTGGTGATTACACAGTATATACAAATGCCCAAACTACAAATACTAAATACTTAAGAACTATGTATTGTATTTTATGCAAATTATATCACCATTAAAAAAAAAAAAAACACAGTTCATTGAAGGAATTATGTCCATCAAAAGTGAAGAAAATGACAAATTCCAAATGATTTCACTCATAGGTGGAATGTAGAGAAACAAAACACCAAACCAAAACAAACCCCTGAATCTGACTGCAGAACTGATGCTACCAGAGGGGGAGGAGGGGAAAGAGAAAAAGGGTGGAGGGAGCCCAGTGGACAGTGAGGGAAGCTCACTGGTGCTTTGGAGGTGGGTGTGGTATGGTACCACATATTTGAAAAGGTAAACCTGTACTCCCAACACAGGCAAAGTTGTAAAGCAATGTTACCTCAATTTAAAAAAAAAAAAAAGTGTTTCCTGTTTTTCTCACGGTAAAATATAGGGATTTGTAGTATAACCCATCCACATTCGTTAGGAAAAGAAATAGAGAATGATCTGATGCCATGCAAAACATTTGGTGCAAGTTATTCTTTTAACTTTTCAGTGATATGTGATGCGAAAGAAATTCTTTGAGATCACAAACTTTTAGAAACCTCCCTGTCCTCATCTTTTCACCAGTTGCTCAATACGTTATGCTTGAGAACAGTCAGTAGAACATTTGCTGTTCATTTCACTGCTTGTCATGGGTATACTCGTAGGAAAGGGGCTTGGGAGAACAAAAAAAAAAAAAAAAAAAAAACCCACAACTGGACTGGCATTACAGTTATCAACGAGAAATGCAAAACACAGGTTCCAGTTCTGAGGCAACAGTGTGTGTGTGTGACGATTGGAGTCAAGTCACAAATGCACTCCGTGCCTGTGATCATCTCCTATCACAGAGTTGTGATAAGGCTATTAATTTGTGATCGTGCTTTTGAGAGGTCACAGCAATGTGTTACTTTAAGAGCCAATGGTGACAGGACACAGTAGACGCAGTCCAATCCCACACTGAATCCTGACATTTTATCTGTTTTTAGGGGATGTCTAGACACATCTCATTTGAACCAACACGAAACCTTCAGGTATAGAAACAGGTAGGTTACTCCACCTTTTTTTTTTTTTTTAAAGGGTGAGAGGACCCATAATCAAACTCTCAGAACTCCAGGTTTCTGGACCTGTTCTCCCAAGACAGCTAGTAAATTTTAAAGGGCAAGAGGGGGCGGGGGCCTGGGCTCAGACCACTGCTTCTACCTCAGGTCTCGCCTGCGATCGACGAGGAGATCCAAGGAGACCAGGCTACAGAAAGCTTGACTCCGGGCTCACGGCGGAGCGCGGGAGAGGCGGGCAGCCGGCCCGCACCGCACCCTTCACCGACGTTACCTCACACCGGGCGGCCTGGCTCCCAGGCGGCCGGCTCGGCTCGAGGGAGCGCGCCAGGCCCGAGCGCCCCCGCTCCCTCCCCGGGCACTTAGGGTCCCGCGGCCTCTGGCCGGCTCCCCCGCTCCTCCTCGCCCGCCCCCGGGCCTCCAGCCTCACCAGCTGTTCCCGGCGGCTGGAGCTCCGATCGGTTGGCGCCCGGCGGCCCCGAACATTAACGACACCCAGGAGCCTGGGCTCGAGGCTCAGGCCCGAGAACAGACCCCAAGCGGCAGCGCACCAGCGACCAGCCCGCAGCACTTGAGCATTTTGAGCGGAGCTTCCGGAAGCGGCCGCAGCGGAAGCCGGAAGTGGGAGCGACCATCGGCCCCTCTGCCCCGGGCTCCGCGCGCTCACCTTCACCTCTTCGCGCTCCAGGCAGAGACCCAAGCTCTTGAATTGCATTTTTGCCTGCGTGAAATGTCTTCGTTTTCGTTTTCCAGCTCCGAAAGCTGAAACAAGCTGGAAAAGGGGGGCGTAAATCCTAGCGAGCCCCCCCCCGGGCGGGCTGAATGGTTCATCCAGGTTGCCTAGGAGACTAACGGCAACACCGCGGTAGACCAGATGCCCAGAGGCTATGGCCACGTTAGCCGGGCTGCAGACTAAATTGAAGGACCTAGGCAGACAGTACTACTTCTCCAACAGGTATGTCAGCAGTGAGGGGTCCCGCGGGGGGCCGGCTGGACTCTAAGCTGTTACTCCTCAGCAGGAGTCTCCTACTAATATACTCCCTCCTTCAATAAATAGCACCCCATCCTTCCCATCATGTGTGGCCTGCAACATAAGTCACAAAAGTTTTTTTTTAATCTTTCATTTTTATTTATTATTTTTACATCATAGTTAATTTTTAAACAATATTTGCTTCCCCTCACCCCATCAGGTGTAGTCCCCATGGAGTTTCCTTCCCCAGTGCACCCGTGCACCATCACTTCAATCCCCCGTGCTCCTCCCTCCCTCCCTCTGAGCCCTCTCCCTCCTCCTCCCCTGCAGGATGTCTCTGTTTTATAATTGTCCGTTTTTTCTTTGTTGTGTTTTGTACTGTTATTATTTTTTACACTGATGTCTTATTTGGTTTCCCTATATTCCTGCTATAAGTGAAACCATCCGATATTTTTCTTTTTCCTTCTGGCTTACTTATTTCACTGACCATAATTCCTTCTAGTTCCTTCCACGTTGCTGCAAATGGCATGAGTTTATCTTTTTTGATTGCTGAGTAATATTCCATTGTGTATCTATGCCACATCTTTTGGATTCAGTCATCTGTTTTTGGGCATTTGGGTTGACTAGACCACTACCTTTCACCACGCACAAAAATAAACTCAATGGATAAAAGAACTGGACATAAGACCTGAAACCATAAACTATATAGAAGAAAATATAGGTTAAACACTACAAAACATACATTGCAAAAACATCTTTAAAGACTCATCACCCAAAGCCAAGATAGTCAAGGAAAAGATAAACACCTGGGATTACATCAAACTGAAAAGCTTCTGCACAGGAAGAGAGACATTAACCAAAACAGAGAGACATCCCACTGATTGGGAAAAAATCTTTGCACCCCAGTCAACTGATAAGGGACTGATCACAAAGATATACAAAGAACTCACATGACTTAACGCAAAAGTTTTAAATGAGTGTTACCATAGCAGGTGGATTATAAAGAGACAGGAGACAGAGATAACAGCTCAAGCTGATTTCAGTAAGGACCCAGCGTTGTGAATTGAAGTGTTTTTCTATGGCATCGTCACTCAAGCAGTTTCTTGAAATCTGTGATCTCCCTAGTTAAGATTTTGTTCTCACTACACTGGTCTGATGAATTAAGTGGCAGCAAGCACCAAGGTCCAGAATCCAAATTGCCTGAGCATGTGTGTCCAAATCCAGTAACCTGGAGGCCACAGACCCAGAGGAAACAATTTTAGTTCTCCTTGATTTGTTTCAACATCTTCCTTCTATATTGGTGGCAAGGCAGTGGCAAACATGTTTCTACCCACAGCTGGCACCAGAATGACTCTGAAGTTGAAAGTTGCCTTTGTTGAGGAATTATATTATTACTGAATGCTCCCTTTACCCCTGAGTCTTCCAGGGTCTGGGAATCCACAAGGAAGAAACAAGCTTCTCTGACTAACAGAGGAGGATTTAAAACTCCAGGAAGTGATAGGCTGTATGGGGAGTAGCTGATATGAGAGGGGAGCCAGAGACCAGAGGAGGACTGCTTTGTTGAACCTACAGCAATCCTCTGGAAGGGTGCCCATACAGGAAATGTTAGGTGGGCATTCAGCCCATCAAAGTAACTGAGTATTGTGTGTAGGATGTTATAAGGTCAAAAAACATAATGCTCTATTGTAACTGTAACTCAATCTAGAATTGGCCTTTTTTTTTTTTCCCCACTTTCACTATTCTAGTTTCATTTCTTCTGAATTATTGAGATTGTTTTGGTGACTTATTGGTCATTTCTATTATCTTCTTTGTGGAGAGTTTGATATATAGTCATTAATTATACTGCTCATTTGCTCCTATCCTTATTTAATTTTTTTTCTAGTTAATCTGTGAAATGCTGGTAAGAATGAGATAAAATGTCCTCTTCCACTGATGTTATGTTCTTTGTCTCATATCTGTGCACTGGTGTGTCTCTTCATTACTTGCTATGGACTAACCTTTTTTAATGTGCAAAATATTTTATCTTTAAATTATATTTGTTGTAATATCTTATATCTGATAGAAGTTAATCATATCTGTGTATTTTTCTTTTTTTAAAGGGAGATCATTTATTAGTTTTATTAGTGATACTGTAACTAAATGCAGTTGATATTGCTGGAATGTAAAGGAAAAATTGGGGGCCTCAAACTACTTTTCACAATGCACATTTACAATAAACTCTTTTTTATCTTTGGTGAAGTGTACAATCAAATCATTTTACTGTGAGTCCTTCCTATTAAAATACAACTCACTTTACAAGTTAATATTTACATTATGACTGCAGACTTCTAGATGGGTATTTGAGTAACTTTCAGCATACATGCAGCACAGTTTGGGATTTAAAAAGATCAAAACTGAGAAAGTTTGTGATGTTGAAGAAGATGAAATGTGCTGGTAAAAGAAATTAAAATTTAATGATAAAATCTCCTTTAATTGGGCCTCCCCATGGCACAGCGGGTTGAGCGCACTGCTGTGAAGCTGTCTCAGCCTCTGCAGTGCGGGTTCGAGTCCCAGCCAGCCAGGTAGATACCCACATGGCATGGCAGACCTCTCCTATCTTGTCCTCTCCCCTCAGCAGTGCCTTCAGTCTGTCTGCCTGTTCTGCTTCCCGCTCTGTCTCTGGTGAATTCTCTCACCCTTCCATGCCTCTGACTGTACCCCAGTTCTTGTATAAATAAATATTTTTTAAAAATCTCTTTTAATTGACTTAGTGCTAAGAAAAGGCGTATTTAGGAAATACTGAGGAAGCTGTTGCTCAGAAAGAGGAATAGAAGTTCTATAGAAACACTGTAGAGACCAAGCATCCTGTTACCAAATTTCCAGATCTTTCCCATCTAAAAGGGTATGGGGCATGCATAGAGATAGGAAAATGGAATGTAAACAAGATAAATGTTCTTAAATAACTGCTGTGTGCTGAGAACTCTGAAGTACTTTCACAAACATTTATTTTGAAATCAACAACAATCTTATGAAGTGATTTTTATTATTCCTATTTTACAACTGAGGAAAGTGGCATTTAGAATGTTTAAGTTCCTGGCCAAAGATCAAAAAAGATAAAGAACAAATGAACTTTGACCCATCTGAGTCCAAAGATTATGATTGAGGTGGAGGAATTTAAAGCATGAAGCCTTTGCATGGAGGTTAGTACACGAAGTACATAAAGTCCAAGGGTAGATAGAGGAAAGGAATATAGTAGATACTGTGATTTTGCCTGAGCTTCATTACCTTGTATCAACCTAAAGGATAATAATGATCCTTGAGCTGGCCTGATTCTGGAATCCATTAGTCCCAGAACTTCAACATCATCAACAGTTCCTATTTGATTCTGAGACTTGTCTGGTTGGTTTCCTGTCCCTAAATTTGGATAATTTATAGTCCTATTTACCTAAACAAGTAATATAATCATTTTAGAGAGATATGAGTCCCTTCCTCTGACTCTAATTAGTTGCTAATTTTGCTCTTACAATAAACTTTACTTTCTAACAGTAAGGAAACCCTGGCTCCCATTGTCCTCAATTTATCACATATTTGATCTACCCCGCTGTATGGAACCAAACTCCTATTACCAGGACCCTCTCCCCTTTATGGGGGGTCCCCTCTTCTCACAGTGGGAGCTGTACCTACCTGTGCTGAACTGACACCTGCTTACCACTGTGGATAATCTTTTCCCCCTCAGGCTCTGAATCCCTATACTGGCCACCATCCCATGTGTTTCCTCTCCTCAACAATTCTTGATACCTTACAGCAGGCCTCTTCTCTAGAACAACACTCTCCTTGCTCAGACTGTGACCTTAAGTTCTTGGCCAAATATCAAAAAAGATAAAGATCAAATGAATTTTGACCCAGAGTGCTTTTTCCCACACAGGCACTGATACCGCAGTCGCAGTCCAGCTATTGTGCTCCTCAAGTGCCCCCTCTACTTCTCATCCCTTCTGCTAATTTCTTAGGTCTTAATTGTTCAGGAAATCAAGTGACAGGTGAGAAGTAAATGGAGGAAAAATAAATATAAGACATTGTAAAAATCACTAATATAAATTTGTATGATAAACTTTGATAATACCACTTTATGATCTAGTACATATTTGCAAGCGATTATTCACTGAAGTGTGAAATAATAATGATAGTAACAATAATGGCACTACTACTACTACTACTAAGGGGGGGACTATTAATGAAAAACAAAACATGGTTTCTGGCTTGTAAAATGTAGTCCTGTGTCTCATCATCAAGTAGTTATTGACCTCTAATTAGGCACATGGGTGATGATCAGAACATATAGTAGAGGTTCAGTGTACCTCCTGCCTTTAAATCACTAAGGCCTAATAGTGAAATGACATACAAAAAAAAACCCTATCATCCTACACATCAATATACAGGTATCCCCCATAACAAAAGGCATGAGTGATACTAGCATTCAGTGTTGGTTTTCCAGCAGCCTTTCCAGAGGGAGCAGTGCCCCCAGCAGGGTGATTGGCCCCCAGCTCCTTCTCCAGAAGTACTTTCTACAGGATGTGTATCATATCACTCCTGCTATTAGTAGATGTGTTATTCCAGATTTTGTGTGTAATTTCTTATGATTTGGTAGGTTATATTGGTGGTCTGGGAATGCACAAAAATTCATCCATATAAATGAATAATAATTGCTTCATGCCTTTTGGGCTTAAAAAAGATGTCACTAGGGTGTTCTGATTTTGAATAGGAGGGAAAACCTGCATCTTATAACACTAATAGAGGAATTTTATTCCTAGTGCTAAAATACTTGCATATTATATGATAATGAGAAAGAATGGGTATTGTTTCCTTATTTACTCAGTAGCTGATCCACTAGGTCAGTCTAAGCACAGTCTTCTGATTTGTAAAATGAATATATTTTGCATATTACTGGAATGCTGTCTAACCACGCATTTTTTTTCATTTTCCATTTATTGTCAATTAATTTCTGGCCA